ATTATTTATTTTTAATTGGAGGATAATTGCTTTACAACATTGTGTTGGTTTCTGCCCTATATATCAACATGAATCAGCCATAGGTCTAGGTATGTTTCTTCTCTCTTGAATCTTCTTCCCACCTCCAACTCCATCCCACCCCTCTAGGTTGTCACAGAGCATCAGATTTGTTACACACAGCAAAAGATAACTGATACACTATCCACTGTGGCAACAACAACCAAGTGAAGCTTGCTAAACTGGCTATATTTACTTTATAGTTTGGTATTATTTTAACTTACAGTTGCACCGTGATACGTTTAGTGCTTTCAGCCACTAAAGATCTTTATCCAGCTCCACTCTTTATCTGTCTTATATATTTAGCTTCTGAATAAAACTGTATTCACAGAAAGAATTTTGCTGCTAATAGAAGTCTAAAGATCACTGCAGTTGACCTGCTCATTTTCCAGACGCCCAGCCCTCAAAAGAGGGAAGGGAATTGCCAAAAGAGCTGTGTGGGAAGGATATGGTCAGAGGCTCGGGAAACCAGCATTCTGGGTGCGCTTCATCTGTGACCTGAATGTACCCGCTCAGGTGCATCTAGAGGCTGTTGGAAGGAAGCCTCCCCAACAAACCAGCACCAGTGGCCTCTAATACAAAAGGCAACCAGTCCTGACTCCAGGTGGAAGCCCCTCACAGATGCTCCCCAACCCCCCAAGCACTGCAAGGCGCAGACTCCCAGCTTCTTCCTGCCTCCTACCTTGATTCTTCGTTTCATGCACACAATAGTCACATAATAAATACCCACCAGATGTCTCTATTAATATATTATAACTCCCCAAAGGAGTGGGATGATGGAAATGCTGTCAGGGCATGAAGGCTCTGAAGCATTAAACAGTGGTGGTGTGCAGAAAATTAATCCTTTTTCTTTTCTTTCTTCTTATCCCCTCCTTTCCCCCAGGATGCCAACAGAAGCAGGTGTCAGCAGGAAGTCTCTTTACAGCTCAGAGAATGAGATTTTAATGAATCCTGAAGGGGAGGGTGTGGAAGGAGGGACATCCACAACACAGAACATTTTATACAAGTCCTGCTGGTATAAAGGCCCTTTTGGATGAAATTTACCCCTACCAGACTCAAGGGGGTGCCAAAAGGATGCTGTGGTTTCCTAACTCCCTTCAGAAAGCTAAGGGGATCTCGAGATCCTGGCAATCTTTTAAACCAGACTAAGTTCCACTCAGCTTTCCTAAAATCCCATGCTCTCTCTCCTATTTAGACTTTGTGTACGCTGTTCCCTTACCTGAAATTCCACTGTCTCTTCTCCATCTTTTCATGCCTTTACACAATCTCAGCTTACACAATACTTCTTCCAAGAAACTTCCCCATCATTGTACTCCCACAGGACGCCGTGCTTCTGCTACTATACTCCTTGCACAATAGAGTGTATTTGTTGGTGACTGACTACTTATTTGTTTGTAAACACTTCTTGGGTTTGGACCTAACAGAAGCAGGAGATATTAAGAAGAGGAGGCAAGGATACACAGAAGAACTATACAAAAAAGACCTTAATAACCCAGATAACCATAATGGTGTGATCACTCACCTAGAGCCAGACATCCTGGAGGCGAAGTCAAGTGGGTCTTAGGAAGCATCACTATGAACAAAGCTAGAGGAGGTGATGGAATGCCAGCTGAGCTATTTAAAATCCTAAAAGATGATGCTGTGACTGTGCTGCACTCAACATGCCAGCAAATTTGGAAAACTCAGCAGTGGCCACAGGACTGGAAAAGGTCAGTTTTCATTCCAATCCCAAAGAAAGGCAATGCCAAAGTCTGTTCAAACTACAGCACAATTGCACTCATCTCACACGCTAGCAAAGGAATGCTCAAACTTCTCCAAATAGTCTTCAACAGTACGTAAACTGGGAACTTCCAGATATTCAAACTGGATTTAGAAAAGGCAGAGGAACCAGAGATCAATTTGCCAACTTCTGTTGGATCACAGAAAAAGCAAGAGAATTCCAGAAAAATATCTGCTTCTGTTTCACTGACTGCACTAAAGCCTTTGACTGTGTGGATCACAACAAACTGTGGAAAATTCTTAAAGAGATGGGAATACCAGACCACCTGACCTGCCTCCTGAGAAATCTGTATGCAGATCAAGAAGCAGTTAGAACCAGACATGGAACAATGGACTGGTTCAAAGTGGGGAAAGGAGTATGTCAAGCCTGTATATTGTCACCCTGCTTATTTTAACTTATATGCAGAGTACCTCATGCGAAATGCTGGGCTGGATGAAGCACAGGCTGGAATAAAAATTGCAGGGAGAAATATCAATAACCTCAGATATGTAGATGACACCACCCCTATGGCAGAAAGCGAAGAGGAACTAAAGAGCCTCTTCATGAAGGCGAAAGAGTAGAATGAAAAAGCTGACTTAAAACTCAACATTCAAAAACTAAGATTATGGCCTCTGGTCCCATCATTTCATGGCAAATAGATGAGGAAACAATGGAAAAGATGACAGACCTTTTTTTCGTGGGCTCCAAAATCACTGCAAATGATGACTATAGCCATGAAATTAAAAGATGCTTGCTCCTTGGAATAAAAGCTATGATAAACCTAAACAGCATGTTAAAAATCAGAGACATTACCGACAAAGGTCCATATAGTCAAAGCTATGGTTTTTCCAATAGTCATGTATGGATGTGAGAGCTGGACCATAAAGTAAGCTGAGCACTGAAGAACTGATGCTTTTGAACTGTGGTGCTGGAGAAGACTCTTCAGAGTCCCTTGGACTGCAAGGAGATCCAACCAGTCCATCCTAAAGGAAATCAGTCCTGAATATTCATTGGAAGGACAGATGCTGAAGCTGAAGCTCCAGTACTTTGGCCACGTGATGCAAAGAACTGACTCACTGGAAAAGACCCTGATGCTGGGAAAGATTGAAGGCGGGAAAAGAAGGGGACGACAGAGGATGAGATGGTTGAATGGCATCACCAACTCGATGGACATGAGTTTGAGCAAGCTCTGGGAGTTGGTGATGGACAGGGAAGCCTGGCGTGCTACAGTCCATGGGGGTCACAGAGAGTTGGACACTACTGATGACTGAACTGAACTGAACTGAAACCCTTCTAGACATCCACTCAGACTTTGACTAACCTTGTATTCCTAATGCTTAGCACAGTGCATGATACATACTGAGCACTGGGTATTTGTTAATGAAGGGAAAAAGGGAAGGGAGGGAGAGGGAGGAGGAGAGGATGGAAAGCATGAAGCAGGGAGGGAAGGAGCATGAACATATATCCTACCTTTCAACTTTCAGCATTCAGGAAGCCTAAAGTTCTTAGGACCCTCTAAAGTCATGAACTTCTCTCTTGCAATGTTCGTATTTATAATCAGACATCTCAGCATCTCTACTAGCATGTCTGAATGATATACTCACAATATTTATAAAAAGATACTGACCAGTATCAACCAACAACAGAAAATGTAGAACACACACCATATATATATATATTATATATATATTTAATATATATATATGCACACACACAATGTATACATGCAAGGTATATATATATATTTGTATGTATATAGTGTACATATATATGCACACACACAAGGGTAAGGTAAGGTTGCAATCCACACCTTCCTCTGACTCTGTTTGGTGCTTTACAGAAGTTATGACCAACCTAGACAGCATATTAAAAAGCAGAGACATTACTTTGTCCACAAAGGTCCATCCAGTCAAGGCTATGGTTTTTCCAGTGGTCATGTATGGATATGAGAGTTGGACTATAAAGAAAGCTGAGGGCCAAAGAATTGATGCTTCTGAACTGTGGGTCTGGACATGGGTTTGGGTGGACTCCAGGAGTTGGTGATGGACAGGGAGGCCTGGCGTGCTGCGATTCATGGGGTCGCAAAGAGTCAGACACGACCGAGCGACTGAACTGAACTGAAGCTTTCCCATGCGTCTCATTTGACCGTACCGCCTCCCAGTGAAGGTGGAAGGGCAGGGTTAACAACATAGCTAGGAGCTTTGTGCATGCTCAGTCGCTAAGTCATGTCTGACTCTTTGCAACCCCATGGTCTGTAGCCCTCCAGGCTCCTCTGTCCATGGGATTTTCCAGGCAAGAAGACCGGAGTGGTAGCCATTTCTTCCTCCAGAGGGTCTTCCCAGCCCAGGGATTGCATTGGCAGGTGGATTCTTTACCACCGAGCCACCTGAGTTAACATAACCATGTTATAAAGGAGAAGGCCGGGGTTCAAGAAAGTGACCCTGAGTCCCAGAGCAGAACTTAGACCTGGGTGTTCTGAGGCCAGGCTCAGTGCTCTGCTTGTGGATCTGTGATAACTTCCCTACCGTGCGAGAGTAAAAATGACCTTCCATAGTCTCCCAATGTGTACACACAACCAAAACTCCATCTGTTTTGCAGCCTAACTGTTCATTTATTGGACCCAGCATCCAATCTGTCATGCATATTTAGGAAATGAATCTAATTTAAAACAAAAGTTATGAGCAAAGATGGGACCTCTGAGTCAAAGGCATTTCATTGGGAAATCAGGCTGACCTCCCATGAGGTGACAGAGATCATGTATTTAGCATATAACTTCCCACAAGCTCTGTTCTGTTCTTCATCATCTTTGATTAATGACAACAGTCATTTGAGTTATTATTTTCTTTATCTAAGAACAGTGTTCCCAGGCAAAATGCAAAAGAAACAGAAGGTGGTTAATAAACTTGCTGAATCCCACAAGCTGCTAACAAAAATTAAATTGAGGGCTCCCCTAAGGAATGTTTTCCATCCTTTTATCAAGAATCTTTTTCTTGAAATTTCATATTTTTTTCTCAAGAAGGGTGTGCTTTTTTTTTTTTTTAACAACTTGGATTTTTTTTTTTACTAGCTATGTAAAACATGCTAGTTCCTTTTTGAACCATCTCTTTTTAGGGGCAAGCCACTTTCATCAGAAAAGAGATAAAATTCAGTCTGTAGAAAAATAAAAGTACCACAAAATACTCACTGTTCTTTATCACTGAAGGTAGGCAAAGAAAGGAGAGAAAGAAAAAAAATGAATAAAGTTAGGGAGAAAAAACATCTCGTAACAATATCAGCACTGGATGCAATCACCACATAGTTCAGTTTAAATTACAATGACCTACTTTCATTTTTTATCAGTCATTATTATCTTATTTTAGCACATCTAAAACACGGTTGCTGTAGGGTTCCACAGCTTTGAGGAACATGACCCATCAGTTCAGTTTATTAATTAACCTATCTGATCATTTATGTATTTGAATAATATTTTTTTGGCACTAAAGAGGAATCATTTAATGATAACAAGGCCACCACCATTCTTATTTTCTGTTGTTTCAAACACTGAGAGTTAAGGAGCACATTGTTATTGTTTAGTAGCTAAGTCGTGTCCAACTCTTTGTGACCTCATGGACTGTAGCCCACCAGGCTTCTCTGTCTATGGGATTTCCCAACAAGAATACTGGACTGGGTTGCCATTTCCTTCTCCAGGAGATCTTCCCAACTCAGGAATCGAACCTGCATCTCCTGCATTGGCAGGCGGATTCTTTACCACTGATCTACCAGGGAAGTTCTAAGGAGCACGTTAAGAAAGGGCAAAGAGCCCTGAACAAGCAGAACTCACAGTGCCCCATTCTGGGGCAGCAAGTTCTTCCATTCTAAAAAGAAGACCAGCCTCTCCATTTCTACGAGTCATGCTACCACAGACAGGTCGCATCTTCCTTTGTGCCTCGGTTTCTACCTCTGGTCTCTGCCACTCTCAGGCTTGCAGACTTGAAAGCCACAGGGAATAATCAACTATCAGAGACAGCATTTCTCCCCATGTATCCCCAACATAGAGAACTGAATCCCTGGTCCACACGTGCAAGAAAGAAATACATTCTCTCCTTTTAAACACAGTCATAATCGTCTTCCAAACACCATCGTTGGATTCAAGGAGACTGAGAGAGGAAGGCATTTGAAAATCACAAAGGCAGTAAGTGTATCTGGCTAGCCAGCAGTTAATTAAGATTAGATTTCTTAATTTACTGGAGAAAGACATTAGAGAATCATCTGCATTAGCACATCATCACTGCCGCAGACTAGATAGCATGTGTAATGACTATAATTCACCCATTAACATTTATTGGAAAATAATTTTAATATCTGAAGAAAATGCAGTAGCAATCAAGCCAGCCAGATGCATTAGGAAAGCCAAGATGTTTCACAGGAGCCCGGGAGCACTTTAAGGAAATAGCATCCAGACTGCTTGAATAATTCTAATTTAATTGTAAGGCAAATTGTTTAGCTTCACATTGACTAAAGTAAACTGTGATGGATGGGGTTTTAATTAACTGACATTTCTTATAAAATAAATATTTTACCCCATCCACCTTCAGGCAACTGTTTATCTCATAGAGAGACAGTTTTTGGCTGATAAGACATTCTTTGCCAAATGAGTTTGGTATCAAGAGAACGTTCATGGGAAGGGCTTGGAAACTAGAAGTTTCCTTTCAAAATGGAAACCAACAGAGTTCAATAATGTCTTCAAAACTGTTAAACTCATGGAACTAGAAGAGGTTTTAGGTGGAAATAGTAAACAGACAGGGATTTTGCTTCAGAGAATATGAGTGGACTAAATATTCTGAAAGACCCTCATCAATATATAATTAGGACCTTGATAATTGAGGGCAAATCTTATTAACACAGTTCTAGGATTGCTAGAAAGTAAAGGAATTCTCCAAAACCCCTCTACTTTTGAAACAGACAGACAAAATAGACTTCATCGAAATAAAAAATGTTTCCTCTTCAAAAGACAGTTATGAAAAAGAAAATGCAAGTCATAGACTGAGAAAAACATGTGCAAAATGTGTCTCCAACAAACAACTTTTATCTACAGCACATTAAAAAAAGCATGTAAATCTTAATAACAAGAAGATAAAAGACCTGATTTTTAAATAGACAAAGTGTTTAAACAGACACTTTAACAAAGAGGTTATATGAATGTCAAACTTACATAAAAAGATGTTCAATATCATTACTCATTAAGGGGAGTGCAAATTAAAATCACAAAACAAATACCACTATGCACACATAGAATGTTAAAATGGAAAAGACAAATTGTAGCAAGTGCTGGTGAGAAAGGAGAAGACGGAATTCTCATACACTTCTGGTAGAAATTTAAAGTGGTACAAACAATCTGGAAAACAGTTTGCAAGTTTTTTTAGAAGTTAAATATTTACCTACTAAGCCACTGAGACATCTTCCTCCTAGGTATTTCCTTAAGAGAAATGCAAGTATATGTCTATATAAATTTTACTTGTACTAGCCAAAAAAACTAGAAACAACCCAAATGTCCATCAACAGAAGAATGGATAAACAAACTGTAGTATATCCACACAATGAAATTTTACTTTTTTTAGCAATAAAAGGAATAAACTATTGATATGAATAACAATATGAATGGATCATGATTTAATTATGCCAAGTGAAAGAAGACACCTTCCTTCAAAGAGATGATTCCATTTACATAATTACTTAGGGATGGGTGGTGACAGGGAGGGGCAAAGGGGAATGAGTATGCATATAAGTGTAAAAATGATCAAATTGTACTTTAGATGTGTACTGTTGGAGGTACATTAGTTATACCTTTATAAGGCAATTTTTTTTTTTTTTAAATAGAAAAAGAAAACCTAGCAAACTGAATCTAGAACTGGGAGCTCTGAGCAGGAAACCAATGTAAACACCAACATTGTGTCCCAGAGACTGACTCTGAGCTCCTAACTAGATGAAGATGCTGAATCTGGGACCCCCAAGGAAGCTCAGATCACATCCTTGGTGAGTAGCACACACTTCCTGGCAGAAGCAAATGCAAATCTCTCTGAAGAAAATATTCTCATGGTAGATCCCCAGGATTCTCATGGGTTGAGCTCACAATAAAACATTACCAAGCATTCAGGATAAAGAAGCTGTGGTACATATACACAATGGAATACTACTTGGCCATAAAAAAGGACATATTTGAGTCAGTTCTAATGAGGTGGATGAACCTAGAGCCTATTATACAGAGTGAAGTAAGTCAGAAAGAGAAAAACAAATATCATATATTAACACATATATATATATATGGAATCTAGAAAGATGGTACTGATGAACCTATTTGCAGGGCAGCAATGGAGACACAGACATAGAGGAGAGACTAATGGACAAGGGTGGTAGGGAGGGTAAGAAGAATGGACAGAGCAGCATGGAAGCACATACACTACCATAAGTAAAAGAGATAGCCAATGGGAATTTGCTGAATGACTCAGGGAACTCAAACGTGGGCTCTGTAACAATCTAGAGAGGTGGGAAAGGGGTGGAGGTGGGAGGGAAGGTCAAGATGGAGGGGACATATGTACACCTATGGCAAATCCATACTGATGTATGGAAGAAATCAAACCAGTATTGTAAAGCAATTATCCTTCAATTAAAATAAATAAATTTTAAAAATTACCAAGCATTCAAAACATAAGGCCTTTGAGTGAAAATCTTCAGTGATGATAAACAATAGACGTAGATTGTCAAGGTCTTTAGGTGGTGGTACGCTGGTGAATGTTTAACAGTTGCACTTCTAGAGAAAAACCCCAGCGAGGCTGATTTCGGGTGCCTATATGATATCACTAAATGCAAAGCTGGGAGAAACATGCAGTAGCATACTAATATACAGTATTTCACTATAAAAAGTATCACAGAGAACAAGTAACACAGAGAATAGCAAAATGTAGTAAAATAAGTAAGAAATTATTAATGTTGAGTATTCACTATCCTTGCCTAATATAATTTAATTATAAAACTATACAACTTAATTTTTAATAACAGTCATATTTAACAATCGGCTTGCAAAATTCCTGCAAATTTAACAACAGCTCTAAGGAGCCAGCATGGTACAGAGCCAATACACCACCGATTCAGGTATAGTAATTATTTAATACAGAATGTGAAGTTATTTTTATGTGAATTTCCCAATTTTTAAATGATCAGGCCAAAACTAAAGAATACATTTCTGCAAGTCAGAGTCAGCTGGTGGCCTGTCAGTTTGCAACCTCTGATTGAGTCCAACTTCCTTATTTAATTGATAATAAACTGAGGCCCAAAGAAGGGAAATAGACTCACCCGGTAAATTAGTTCAGGTTTAGGACCAGAATCAAGTCTGATTCTAATCAACAGGTTAGTGCTCTTTCCATTTCACCATACCACCTTTCATTTAGGGCATGGAGCTCAGAGTTTCATCTTGTTACTCCAACCTTTCAAAATAGTAAAATCAGTGGAGGAGTTTCCATGACAGAACTCCCACCAGCTTCTTTTTTCCCCCACCCCAGGGATGGAAGTTCTCTTTTTTTCCCTACTACTCCTCTCCTCCTTCAAGTGTAGATCAGAACCTCATTGCCCCTAAGCAGAAGACTTCCAGGACCCAGTGACTTACTTTGATTGCAGGGGTCGGTCACTGGGATACATCCAACGGCTTGAGCTGCTGCTGAACACGGTGTCAGTCATGGCTGAAGCCCAGAACTCCTGGAAAACATCAGTCCAGAAAGGTCATCATGCAAACAGTCATTCAGTCACTCCTTACTTATCAGGGCCCTTATCTATGTCTGAGGGGCATGGGAGGAAACAGAGCCTCACCCAGCTTCCCCACTCTCCAGACGGGGCCTTCAGGAGCAAGAGGGACACTGTCACAGCCCTCTTTTGGCAGAAATGATCAGAATGAAGAACTCTTTCCCTTTAATCTGTGTTCCTCCCATTCATTTTTGATGCAAGAGGAAGGGTGCGTATGTGCATGCTAAGTCGCTTTAGTTGTTTCCAACTCTCTGCCCCCGCCCGCCATGGACTGTAGCCGCCAGATTCCTCTATCTGTGGGGATTCTCCAGGCAAGGACACCAGACTATTGCCAAGAATACTGGAGGGTTGCCACGCTCTCCTCCAGGGGATCTTCCCCACCCAGGGATCAAATCTGCATCTCTTTTGCCTCCTGCAGGTGGGCTCTTTAACACTAGAGCTACCTGGGAAGCCCAAGAGGAAGAGCTCTCAACTCCAATCCAGGATATTTCTACTAGAGGATGGCATCTGGCTCATGTGCTAGTCAACTTGGCCTTGGGTAGGTAAAAAAAAAAAAAGCAAAACCCGTCTCTCAGAGTTTTGAGGTCTCAAATGTTACAGTCATCCCTGGCTTGCTTTCTTTTTAATACTCTACACCCAAGCCATCAGAAAGTCATGGCTTGATTGTCATAGAGCCAGAATCTTCCCGATATTCTCTGCCCAATTTGCTTATGTGCTGATCCAAATCTCTGCTGCCCCAGCCTGCCTTACTACAGGCGCCTCTTCAGTGTCTCCCTGCTTCTGCTCTTGGCCCACCTCAGGCTATGCTCTACACAGTGACCGGGGAGATGGTCACAGACACAAACCACACTTTGTGAAAACAGCTGGAATTTCCCACTAAAATGTAAGCCTCTTGCAGAACTCTTCCTGTTTTGTTCTCTGTTTAATCTCCAATACCCAGCATAGCTCCTGGCATGGAGAAGGCATTTAGTAAATAATTATTGAATGCGTGAATGAGTCTTCACCAATGCTAAGCAAGTCCAGCTGAACTTAGGCGAACTTGTGTTCTTTCTGGACCTCCACTCCTCCCTGCTCCCCCAGGTATAGCCAAAGAGGAAAGGGAAAGAGACTATGGAGATCACATTTAATTTATTGTTTTAAAAAGTTTTGGAAGGTAGGTCATGGGGTCCAGTGGGTCCTGATTTCGCTGAAGCTCTTGTTACATCACAGTCCTTTTCCCTAGGAAGATGAATAGATGAACAGTTGGGAGGGGAACAGGGAGAGAACTGTCTTTCCTATTCTACAACCAGTGCAATTATTAAATATTCACGTGGGTGGGGTAGGGGTGGAGGGCTCTGATGGTTGGACACAGGAGAGGAAAGACCCTTTACAGAAAAGCCATTTCATCTGCTCCCAGGTGGTTAACATAATCTTCCTAGAATAATATGACCGTTTTATTGTTTCCACTCTGAAAACAGAAAAAGGAGCGATGACTCCTGTTGCGAAGGAAATATGCTGAAAAAAACCTTAACTTCTCATTACTGCCTGTGCCAAGAGCTGAATGAGGCTGCCCGGGCCCCCTGGGGTCCTCTGGTCCCTGCTGGGTACCGAGAGCATCAGTCCTCAGTAATGAGCTTCCTCGGCTGCCCTTGACCGGAACAGCCAAGCATTCATTTGAATGCATTGCCTCCTGAAACAAGATGCAGCAGTGCCCTTGGAGGATCCCAGGAGGTGGGGATGAGGGGGTGGGATGGGTGATACACAGTCTCCACTCAGGAACTCTGATCTCCAAATTCTGATGCTCGGAATAGACACCTGTCCACCCAGCCTGGAGATCACATGCTCTGTTAGAGCCAAAGCCCTGGCTTAAATCTATTGAGGCAGCGGCAAATTCAGAAAGCATAAAATAATTACCTTCCCTGGAAGCCAGAGGCTTAGCTCTCTGCTGGGTACCACAGCAAAGGGTCTACACCACAGCCCTGCTGTGAGCGCCAAGGAATGAAAGAAACAACAGCAACAATCACTAGTTCAAATATCAAGGGTTTGGTACCTGCTAACTGCCTTTCAGATTTTATCTCATTTAATCCTCAAAAAGTCCGCATAGTCAAAGCTATGGTTTTTCCAGTAGTCATGTATGGATGTGAGAGATGGACCACAAAGAGGGCTGAGAGCCGAAAAATTGATGCTTTCGAATTGTGGGGCTGGAGAAGACTCTTGAGAGTCCCTTGGACAGCAAGGAGATCAAACCAGTCAATCTTAAAGGAAATCAACCCTAAATATTCACTGGAAGGACTGATGCTGAAGCTGAAGCTCCAAACTTTAGCCACCTGATGCAAAGAGCCAACTCATTGGAAAACACCCTGATGCTGGGAAAGACTGAAGGTAGGAGGAGAAGGAGGCAGAAGAGGATGAGATGGATGGATGGTATCACTGACTCAATGGACATGAGTTTGGGCAAACTCCAGGAAATAGTGAAGGAAAGGGAAGCCTGCTGTGCTGCAGTTCATGGGGTGGCAAAGAGTTGGACATGACATAGCGACTGAACAACAACAATCCTCAAAATAGATTTAGGAGGTAAATGTCCATATCCCATTTCACAGATGAGTAACTGAGTCACAGAGAGTTTAAGTGGACTTCCCAAGGACCTTCTTGAAGCCCTTCAAGGAAGCAATCTAAATGCCTAATAACAAGCATTGGCTAGCAGGATCCTGGTGCATCTGTATGGTGGAGGGCTTCACAGCTGCAAAGAATAATGAGAATTTAAGATGGATATGGACTGATCACCAAGATTACTTGTCTAGTGGCCAGGCCAAGACATAGAACACTGTTCGAGAACACTATTGTGTAAACAGGGAAAGTAGGATAATGTGCATGTTTAGGTTGTATATGCATAAAGCATCTCTGAAAAGAACACACAAGAAACGGACAATACCATTGGCCTCTATGGAGGGAGCCTGGGAGGTTGGGCCTGAGATGGGAAGAACTGTCACATGATACCCCTTTGTATTTGCAACCATGAAGATACTTTAGCTATTCAAAAATAAATGTCTTTTTCAAAAGATAATTTTTAAATAATAAATTACTTCAATTTATCGGCTGTCCAATGCATATAAGATTTAAGACTCTCTGTGACCTCAAAGAACTGTCATGACCTTCTACCTGCTACTGTTCCTAGATCTTGGACCATGCCAGTCATGCTGGCTTTTCCAGCTGCCAAGTGTTTGCCTTTGCTGAGTCTCTGCCTTGATAGCTTCTTCCTCTTACTCTTGCATAGCGGGTTTCTGCTCATGCTCTGCTGGTCTCTGCTCAAATGTCACCTCCTCCAAGAAGCCTTCACAGACTACACCCTCTAAGTCACCTCCTCTCACTCCTTACTTAATTCTCACTGTTTGTTTCCTCTATAATATTTATCAAGATATGTAATTATTATTTTTTCTTTACTTATTCACTGTTTGTTTCCCCACCTATTCCATAATATCCATGAGCGATATTATGGGTCTGGGTCTGTATTTGTTCAGCAGTGACTCCAGTGCATGTGGAACCAACTTCATGAAGCTTTGGCCTGTACAGTCGCACAGGGACCCATGTCTAGAAGGACCCTGAACTCAGAATGACCCCATCCTTAGAAGAGCCCACACTTGGCTTAATGCTTTGCTGTCATCAACTCAAAATGTTTTATGGTATTTGAACAAGGGGCCTTACGTTTTCACTTTGCAGGAGTGTGGTATACAGTAGATGTTCAATGAATCTCCACACAAGTCCTAGAGCTCAGTGAGTGCGGAAGGTACTCAGTAAATCTGCATGTAAGTGACAGAGCCAGGCCTTGTTCCAGATCTGCTCACCTCCACAGCTTGGTACTAATCTTTAAATCACCTGCATTTTAAAATGACTCAAAGACCCAGTGCCAAGCCCAGAAAAGATTCCAGAACCCTGCCTTTCTCCCTCTGCATTTTGTTCTACCTACTTCTCCCCTGGCTCCCATCAGCATGGTTTGTTAAGGAACTGTGCCTCCATTTCCCAGAATCTCCAAGGTCTTCTGCTGGGTTTAGTTGAACTGAAAAAAACAAAACAAAACCCTGACCGTCCATTAAGCTTCAGAGTCACAGCAGGTGTCTAAGCGTGATGCGGCGGGGCTGGGCTGGGTTGGTGGTGGCCCTGCACGTGGCACTTCAGGGCACTGCAGGGACCCAGCATGGGTTGCAGTTGTCTGCGTGGAGTTCAATGCCACAGTCAGTCTCCCAGCCCCACAGAGCTGGAATTAAACCAGATGCTTCACAGTAGAACCTGCAGCCACCAGCTTGGATGGTGCCAAATCGGTTCCATCTCTGTGTCTCTTTTTCCTGCCCTGTTCCTCTCCCCGAGTCCATCCTATCTCTACTCAATTAGGAATCCAGGGTGGAGGGAGGGGGACAGAATCACTCAGACTGCCTGATGGGATGGGATATGCAACTTACACCAAGGGCTCCAAACAGGAGTGAAGTGGGGCTGGGGGGACTTCACTGACAGCATCCAGGCTGAAGGTATGTTTTGTTTGGCCGATGCAATAGTTTTTAAAAGTAAGAGTAAGCCAGTATTTTAAAGGCACAGGATTTTATTAAAAATACAAATTTCCAGCTTCTCTTGAGAAACAGGAAGAATAAAAGAAATTTATAGAACATCTATTACTCTGTGGCAGACACTGGTCTAGGCACTAGGGATACGGCATTAAAACAAATAAAAAAGGAAAATCTTTGTCCTCATGGAGCTTCCCTTCTAGTGGGGAAACAGTAAGTCAAATGAAAGTGTGTCAGCTGGTGATTGAGCACTTTAAAGAAAAACAAAGGAGGGTTGGTGAATGAGAGGGAAGTTTGATTTTAAATAAGTGGTCTAGGGAATTCCCTGGTTGTCCAGTGGTTAGCGCTATCACTACCAGGGGCCTGGGTTCTATCCCTAGTTGGGGAACTAAGATTCCACAAGCT